AGAATTGCTATCATAGGACCACCGTTACTAGCACCACTAGATGCACTTTCAAAAAACGCACTGCGTTGTGGTTTGGTGGTTTCTAGGCAACATGGAGTACATGGTCTGTACTAGTGTAGGAATTTGGTCACGGGAGGCTGGGCCACTCGGGAGTTGGGTCTGGGCCGCCATTTGAATAGGCCTGCCTATTACATACAATGTGTTGGAGCGCTAGCCAAAGAAGCGCGAGTGTTACTTGGTGATGTCATTATGTTACAGAAGTAAACAAATGAGTCTAATGGAGGCGTTTCAGGCAGGGGGGGGGGGATTTTAGCCTTTGGAGACCATTTACCATTTACATGCACAACAACCTATAGAACACACTACAGGAAAGGGGAGACCCCCACAAATCACAATAGGGCCCCTTTAAGCTCATGAAGAAGACATTTTTTTTTAAGGAGCTTTTGAAAGTGTTTGGGAGCATTCACACAAACAGTTTCGTGCAAAATAGGCTTTCGTCTATTTTAATCATTAAATCTGCGAAATCCCGCAGTGTAATTCCAGCAATATTGTTTATATAGCTGTTGACATCCTGACAGTAACCCAGATGCCACTTCTTCCATCTTGTGGTTGTGCAGGGCTCCAGAGATGACCTTATATCCAGCGGATACACAGACAGCAGGAGGATCAGCACTGCAATGGACAGAGAACATGGTGAGTTTGGATCCTCAGAAAAGAACCAGCACACCTGGGATCTGGCCTCTTCCTGTTTAGCATCACAGCAGAGGCAGTATTTATGTTACATTAGCAGCACTCTCTCTGAAAGCAGAAGATATGTGCCACTCAGATTGTGCTGTACTTTGTTGTTTTGTTTCTTGGAAATAGAAAGAACAAGCCTCATAGCACTTACCCTAAGGCTGTTTAAATGAGCATACCATTTACTAGTGACCACAACAACAAAAACATTTTAAATCTTTGAAAAATGTCAGCTATGTTTAATAGCGTCTTCTTTTCATAGATTTGATTCAAATTCAACTGTGAACTGAGGTAGGGATTTTAAGGCTCAAATTCACATAGAAACGTTTTTTTTCTACTGATTTATTGTGAAATGTGTATAAGAGTTCTCCAGCAATGCAGTACTGCATTGCCATAAAGTCACTAGACAGATTAAAGTAAAAAAACACATTCTGACCTTTATGATTTCAAAAGCATCTTTTCCCTGGTGACAGAACTAGGGTTAGGTTCTCAGACTTCACAGTACCTCTCCTGAGCCACAGAACGGCTTTTATCAAGCCAGTAATACTTAACTTAGGAGTATCTTTTATTGCATCAAATATTAGCTTAAGTAAATCTGGGCTTGAGAAAGAATCAATAAAAATATAATTAACAGAAAAATAAATGGGCGAGGCACACTACATAAAACATTACAAAGTTGTTGATAATAATATACGTATAAGAATAAAATATGTATTTGTTATCCGTCAACTATCTTCTATTTATTGTTTTGTCTCTTTTCTTCTGATTTATCAACTTGTATTTGATCTGTTATAGTTTTAATGTATTTCTTTTTGTTGTGTATGCCCTTTAAAAAACATATTTTCTTAAATGCAAATAATAATAATAATAATTCAAAAAAAGTCCTGCTATCGGTTGTCATTTAACAATACTTGACTGTTTTGGCTTTAGGTCTGCCCGCTCAAAATGGCCATGTTGTGAGGAGAGAGGACTCCAGATGCTCTCTGTTTCTGGACTCAGGGACATCAGACAGCATGGAGGTAAACAGACTGTATTAAAGAGATGGCTCTCATTGCTTTTAAGTAGGGTTGTATAAGGTACTTATCCATAGTCAGTGTGTTTAATACTTATGACTGTGGTAGGAACCCTTCCAGTCGGAGAAACAGACAGAAATGACCCAATGCGCTGTTCTGGATAGGGCAGAAGCTAAATATACTTAGCCAGCCAAAATAATCTTAAGTGTAAGCAACATTTTACATATTTTCCCCGTTTAACCTGGCAGTTTTTGGGCTTTCGCTCCCTCAATTAGTTAGTTTTGAATCTCTTAAGTCACATTCAGTTCCCCTTTGCAAAGGATTGACTATTTAAGAAAAATGTGATTGGTTATCTTAAGCTCATGCCACGTAGACACGCTGTTCTGTATCCAAATCTGAAGACTGCACACTACATTCAACAAACCGTGGTGAGAATAATGTTAAAAAAATATGTATTGCTTTTGAAAAGTGTACCATCGACCTCTCAGTGTGGAGTATCACTCTCTCTGAACACTGACCCAACATAACAAGCCCTAAACAGTTCCTGCTGTGTAACTGCCGCACAATAAATTAGATGAATCCTTATTTATCTCACGCCAAAGACTACCATTGTGTTAATGTCAATAGTATTTTGATCCTGGTATGCTGTTAATAGGTTTCATCTGGAAAACACACAGACTTAATCATATTCCCTGGTCTGATGTGTGTATCCGCTCTCTTTTAAGGCAGCCAGATGTTGAATAAAGACGCACTGAACTAGATTTTTTCTATCTACATACGTACATTGCAGCACATAAAAACTGGTTTATTCTGTGTCCATTTTTGGCCACAGCTTGGTTCACTAAACATGACCTATGAGGTAAACTACTATGCATATTTACTCACTTCAAGATGTAAACAGTCAAACACAACAACAACAAAATGTTTTTGCTTCATCTAAAAAAAGATCAGTACAGCAAGAATTTGACCAAGTGGGGAGACAATGATTTAAATAAATATTAACATGAACTTTTAATTGTACTGAATAGTTTAACCTATACAAGGGTAAGTTACTAGAAAATGTTGTATGTAAATATGAGTTTATCCCAGATAAATCTTGTGACATTACTCTGTTTTGAGTCACTGTTAGTAAAACATGGCTTCCCATCTGTTTCGGGGAATCAACAAGTATTTTTCTAAAAATGAACTTTGTATATGTGACTTGATTTTAAAGACTTTTTCTGTGGCTGTAAGTCACACACAGGATAGGGAAGACACACTATGGAGAGACAAAATGGCTTGTTGTCTAATCATAAAACCCCAAACAGGTATCAAACAAAGTGTAAACAGACTTTTCCACATCATGGATTTGAATATCTCACTGTGTGTGTGTGTGTGTGTGTGTGTGTGTGTGTGTGTGTGTGTGTGTGTGTGTGTGTGTGTGTGTGTGTGTGTGTGTGTGTGTGTGTGTGTGTGTTGCAGCTGCAGAGACGGTACTCCACCATGAGCAGCAGCCCCGCGCCTCCCATCGGCAGACTGGGACCGTACGAGATTAAAGGCCTCCTGCTCTCCTTCCTGCACATCGTCAAGACTTTGTCAGAGGGTCAGTGAATATCTACGTTCCTTCACCACACACGGGATATGACATCAATGTCCCTTCTGCTATTTTGGGATAGCCTCTACGCAGAAACTTGGCACAACAATACATAAACAAAGATTTTTACGAATGATAGTCAGCCAGCCTTCTCCCCATCATTCTTCATGAGGCCTGAACTATTTCTTTAGATTTGATTGATGATGGTTAAAGGTTGTTTTTTGTTATGCATTAAAGACTTTCTTTTTGTCCACAGACACTCTCATGGCCTACTGGAACAAAGTCAGCCCTCAAGACATCATGAACTTCCTCAGTTTGCTGGAGTGAGTAGTGAATACAAAGAAAACGTTACCACATAATGGCCCGTTGTCATTCAGTAAAATGACGTGGTCGGCTAGTGTAAGCAGGCTTGTTGAGTAAAGGATTACATTTAACAGGATTACGTAATCAGGATACATTACAACAAGGTCACTTTATTCCCTTAAATGATATAAAAGGATCCGATTTTATTTCGTCTCTGTAGGCTGTACTGTCCTGTAGGCTAATACTTAAAGTGTGAATCCATACATTTACTGCCTGAATTTACTTTATGGTTTTCACTTTCTTTGGTTCATTTGTTCTTTTTCTAATTCAGTAGGTGAACCTATATGTTCATAAAATAGTGTGTGTGAGCTTAACTGTGTGAGTTCAACTAAAACGAAGCATTTTCTGTCAGCTCAGATTTGATTTATTCTTATTTAAACTGTAGTTTGTGCTCTTGTGTTTCATTGTAGGTGTATAGGTTACTGCCTGAATATGCTTAATGAATGACAGGCACTAAATATCTTGGTTACTGGTTTCTAGTAACTGTAACGGAATGCATTTTTAAAGTAACCCTCCCAACCCTGTATGTAAAGTCACGGACGTCTTACAGTACATTGGTTGTAACTATGTTACTTATTCCTTGCCAACAGTATTTCATCAGCAGTTGATTGACAAGTGTTGCCAAAGTTGAGTTGTACAAACAACAATTACAAAAAATTGCAACGAACACAGTGGTCCTGGTATTTGTACAGATCACCAGATAGAATTTCTCATTGCTTTAAACAAAAACTAAAAGGTGAAAGAATAACATGAACATTTTCCCTTCTCCTGTTAATATGTTGTATTATTTCTCTCTGCAGGACCTGTCTGGTTCAGCTCCGTTACATTGGCAAAAGGAACATTGGCCGGTAATGCTGGGAAAATTCTTAACTTGTTTCTCAATATCCGCAGGGTCTCTGTCTGTGTCTTTCTATAAAATGAACAATGTTTCTCACTCTGGATCTATTATTCATACAGGAGTCAGGAGATTTGCGCGTCAAAACTTTTCTCGTCAGACAGGAAGTCTCAGACGATGCCAGCTATGCGCTGCAACCGAGCCAGTCTCATGCAGACGAAGTTAAACCAGTTCAGCACCATGGAAGCCTCCCTCACTCTCAATATAGGTAACCACACACTTATGCAAACTTTGGGTCAAAATTTATCTAACGCTTTTTTCCCCTACCTATGATTTCCTAATGGTTTTCACTTGACAGTTGGATTTGGGGAACCTAAGTGATTAGAAAGCCACACAGGTTTTTAATGCAAAGTTAATCTAACTTTGTCATACCTGTACTTAACAGATGTCTGGAGAAGATCCAGCACAAAAAAACCACACTGTAAGCTGTTGTTATCCCAAGATTAAACAAAGCTTTACCAATACACTTTACCATGATGTTTGTACCTGATTGGAAACCAGCCAATATGCAGCTCTTGTAAGACTCAAAAGTTAAGCTTTTCCTAGATTTATGCTAAACACACACAATCACATTGTGTAAAGCTGAAAGGAAAGATTAATACATTAATACATGTGTTAAATCCATACTGAAACTTTTTGAGAAATATGTGGTCTATTTGAGAGAAAAACTGACAGGATCAACTGCACATAGAAACATGAATGTGTCATAATTACATATTTTGTTTTCAAACCTGAAAACAAGTTAAATTGTCTAAAATGTTACTTGGTAACGTAAGGCGTTGTATTATTATCCATGAAATTGTATCCAAAAAAACATTGGTAATTTACCTTGTGAACTAAATAAAAAAATGATAATTTAACAGTCCAGAATCAGAAAAGGCAGTGCTAAAACAAAACAAGAGAAACATCCCTAAAGTGAGACATGTATGTTTTTTTAATATATAATCTGGTCTGTGTGAGCCTTTATCATACAGCTTTTCTAATATACTTGTTTTTTCCCGTGTGCTTGTTCTGTGTGTTCTAGGGACGGGGCCATCCGAAGCAGAGATCCACCATCAGGCTGTGCTGGAGGGAAACATCTCCACGGAGGTCTCTCTTAGCGTCCTGGATGTCCTTGCTTTTTTCACTCAGTGCTTCAAGGTCAGTGCGCACACACACACACACACACACACACACACACACACACACACACACACACACACACACACACACACACACTCACACTCACACTCACACTCACACACACACAAGGATGGGGATTGTGTATCTCTCTCGGGAAAAATGGAACCCAGTGTCTCTGTGTGTGTCAGACCCAGCTGCTGGACAGCGACGGTCACAACCCCCTGATGAAGAAAGTGTTTGACGTTTACCTGACCTTCCTGAAAGTCGGCCAATCGGAAGCGGCCCTCAGGCACGTGTTCGCCGCGCTAAGGGCTTTCATAAACAAGGTATGTTAACAAATTCTACCCCAGTCCTTCTACGTATTTGTACTATTTATAAAATCAAAAAAAGAAGGGCGTATTGTGCGTTGAAATCGTATTTGTAATAGACAAAGAGACCGGATGTACAGCATAAATATCTCTGGTACTTTGGTTTGTTTGGGTTGCTGCTGCCATATTCCCACATGAATCAATCTTAATCATGTGTATTTTTAGATTTGTTATTACAAGTCTCTGATCTTAGAATCGTGAGGGAACATGTCACGTATTCCCAAAAGTGGAGCAAGGGGCACGCATGTATTTAGTGGAATTGCCCTCTAGTATCTGCAATATAACTGTTGGCTGTGTGGTGAATGATATTAAAGCACCAGGGGACACTTTGTTCTGGCATGTTTTGTTCTTCTTTTCTACTATAGTTTTGATGCGAGCCACTAGTTTCTGAGTCACCTACTGTCAAAACAAGAATTGTATGGATACAGCTTTTTATCATCTACAAATCCCATGGTTATCTATCTAATTTCTCTAAACCACAGCTTAAGCCACAGTGTTGCCCTGGGTAACTTACTGGGTAACATGTTATTTGTATCACCACTCACACTGTAGTTTATTGTAACTCAATTTCACATACACCACAGTGAGAATAGGGCCAAACCAATGTGTTGTAAATTGTTTAAGCCATATTTACACAGGGTGGTGTAATGGGAGCAGGTCACGCTCTGTTTTGCATGCATGGCCTCTCACAATAACATATCAAACATTTCCTCTCTAAACATTAGAACTCAAAAGGCCCCAAAATGTTGGTGTTATTTATTAAATTTGCATGTTTGGATCCTTGTCAAACATACTAAGCAGGAAGTCATTAAACAGAAGTCAAACGACCACAAATAAAAGATAAAAACTCCTGCATTACTTGCACATTGGTCCCTTTCAACATTCTCTTGCACTATTTTATTTCCATTATTTTAGTTTTTGCACTATTTTCATTTTTGTATTATTTTAAGTCGTATATATATATATTTATGTTGCATTGTTCAAGGAGCCTAGGACTTAAGATTTGCATTGCCATAGCAACACACTAGCTACTGCGCATATAAGATAAAGATAAGATATACTTTATTGATCCCAATTTGGGATTTTCTTTGTCACAGCATGTAGATCAGACTTAGAAGTTAATTACATAAAATATATAATAAAATCAAAAACAATTAAGATACACATATCAGCAGAAGAAGATGAGCAAAATACGCCAACAGTGAATATATACATATCAATAATGAAGGTTCTATATCTATACAGTATAAATATTGAATACATAATACATATACATGATATATACGGATACATATGTCAATAAACCTTTGTATTATCTGACTCACAGCTCCTGTCCCTACCTAATGTCTCACTGCCACTAACCTGCTGCCCCCCTACATACTAACAGTGTTTTCCCTAACCCCTGCCCTCTAAAACCCTAACATGTTGTCCCCTCAGTTCCCGTCGGTGTTGTTTAAGGGCCGCGTGACGCTGTGTGAAGCTCTGTGCACCGAGGTCCTCAAGTGCTGCGTCTCCAGGATGGGGTCTCTAAGGGCGGAGGCGTCCGCCCTGCTCTACCTGCTGATGAGAAACAACTACGAGTACACCAAGAGGAAGACCTTCCTACGCACGCACCTGCAGGTAGAGGGGGGGGTTTGTTCTGAAGTAGAGGAAAAGGAAGTCATGCCTCTAAAGATCTGTCCTGAGAACAATCTCTCAACATCCCATAGCCTTGGTGGTCTGTAACAATGTCTTTCCTGATCTCAACACTCATATCAACACTTGACCTTTAGCCTTTTTTTCCACACACGCTCCTCATGGGAACTTCAGATGCTTTCATAATGCAGGTGCAGAATGTTAGGATGTTGTTTAAACAGTTTGAAAACACACACTGCCTTGCCGAGTTTCTCAGCCGTCCAGCTTTCCATTAGATCTCACGGGACTGAAAACATACAGTATACACTCAGAGTATTTGGTGTAGAACTGTGTTTACCCAACTTTTTTTTGTTGTTCTTCTCCTTAGCCAGCCCATTTCTCCCTTCAGTCCTCGTTCTTCTGCACTATCCCCTCACTGTGCTCCTTTGTTTTCTGTCCAGATCATCATCGCTGTGAGTCAGCTGATCTCCGACGTGGCGCTGACCGGCAGCTCTCGCTTCCAGGAGTCTCTCTCCATCATCAACAACTTTGCAAACAGTGACAAACTCATGAAGGTAAAGGAGTAACAGAAAGTCAGACCAATCACAACTCTGAATGCAATAGGATTTAAATAAGAAACCATATATAGAAACAAATAAAGAAAGAAGGTTATTCCAAATTAAGTACGGTAAATGTTTGGGACATTAGATCTTTCCATATAAAGCCGTGCTGCGCCCAAAGCCAAGAGAGGATTCAACCCAAAAACTACAGAGAGCCCATCTGTGATCCATCTCTCTCTGTCTGTGTTTACGCTCCTGTTAGAGCAGCCATTGGACCCCTTTTTAAAACACTCGCTTCCATTGTGAGATTGAATATGTGGCGTGGCGATACGACTGATGTGTTTAGACTGTAAATATGTACCGTACGAGGCGACGATGATCGATAACAGATTCTCTTACAAGGAGGCCTTGTAGAGGTACTGATTACGTGTCTTGAACGTGCGTACAGTACAGCTTCAGAATAAAGTGCAACAAATGTAGAAACAAAGTGGATCGCAATGCAAACCACAATAACACCACTTAGAATGCATTAACTAAGACATGTGTGCATATGAGACTGTTGCCCCTGTGCATGCTGGGAGGCTTTCCTACACAATCACTTGATCAGCACTGCAACGTGAGTGCTACTGATTATGGTTTCAATCCTCTCTTCATGCTGTCTTTATTTCAAAATAAGAGCGCATTGTTATTGAAGTTAACGTCCCCTAAGACTAACAAATCAATACTTAAACTGCACTTTAAGAATTTCCAATTAGTGAGAATGTATAGGATGATTTTAATCTATCTAGCCTGGATAAGGACATTTATCTCATAACATCATGTATTCAAACGTTTATTCCTCTCTGCATGAAACAGTCCACGGCGTTCCCCTCTGAAGTAAAGGGTCTGACCAAGCGGATCCGCACGGTACTGATGGCCACGGCCCAGATGAGGGAGCATGAGAAAGACCCGGAGATGCTGCTGGACCTCCAGTACAGCCTGGCCCGGTCCTACGCCAGCACCCCCGAACTGAGACGCACCTGGCTGGACAGCATGGCCCGAGCACACCTGAAGAACGGAGATCTCTCCGAGGTAACAACGGAATGCTTCACCTGGTGTCATATTTACAACCACCTGTGTCCACACAGAAGTATTGCTATGCTCCTGGTTCATCTATTTTATTTATTTATTTATCAGAGACGGTGTACATACAAAAAAAAACTTCTGCAAATGCGTCAGTCATCCCTAAAAACAAGTTTCATTTAAAATAACAAGTAAATACAATCAGTAACACACGCTGATCACTTTCTTTGCATGCAATGAAATCCACTTTCTCGATCACTTACAACTGTAAGCTGTCAGGACACTTAAAAGAAAGTGTTTCAAGCATATTTCCTTTGCTATTGGCACAGTGGCAACACCAAAGCAAACAGCATACAGAGTCTCTGCCCTTGTGTAGACTCTGATGTACACAGTGAGTCAGTCCTTCAGTCTCAGGTTTCCAAGCCCACAAGGTTTCACGGAAGCATTACTCCCTGAATCACTCCTGCTCCTATAATGTAGCACATTTAAATGCATAAATAAAATATATACCTACATAGTGTACATACTTACTACTGCTGCAACAGGACACAGGCTGAATAAAGCAGCAAATTGTTTACAATGTTTTTACAATCTACAACATAAATCAGAGAGCTCAAGTCGAGGTCATTTTTATTTGGTTAAGCTGCAATAAAACGTTTATTTATGGTTATCAAGAAAATAAAACATCGGCTGGTACATCCTACTTTGGTGTAAACAAGAGAGACAGTGGCTGAAGCTGAAGTCTTTATACTTATACTATGAATACTTTGTAAAGTCACAATGATGCAGTACTACTGTTCAGATAAGAGAAGGGGAACTTGAAGAACTTGAAGAACTTCACTTGAATGAACTTAAATAAATAAGGAGGGGTGAACTTTACACCTGGCTGCTTTCTGGCTTTTGTACATTCTGTACAGCTGCCAGTTTAAATGATAGGTGTGGCTGCTAGATATGAGTCACAAACTGTCAACGTGACATGCGCTTGAAATACATCTTGTGCATATCAGTGCCAGTAAACCAGTCACTGCCAATGAAACATTTGCATGTAATAATAATTGATTAATTGTATATAGCGCCTTTCAAGAGACCCAAGGTCGCTTTACGCTGTGAACAAACAAAAGCGACAAAATAATAAAGGTAGAAATGTAAACCGCAATTTCACCTTTGCTGTTGTCTGTTTTATAAAATATATGCTTCCAATCTTGTGTTGACTAAAACCTGTTGGGGTTGTTTTTGTTCTTCACAGGCGGCCATGTGTTACGTTCATGTGGCTGCGCTGGTTGCAGAATACCTGTACAGGAAAAGTAAGTCCCCCTGCACACCTATACACACACACACCTGTACACACACACACACACCTGTACACACACACACACCTGTACACACACACACACACACACACACACACACACACACACACACACACACACACACACACCTGTATACTGAGCTTCACTGGAGGGAGTAACCTGTGTTAAATGAGATACAGTAGCTGCCCCTCCTTTCCTGCTGTCTGACACACACACACACGCACGCACGCACGCACGCACACACACACACACACACACACACACACACAGCTACTTTTTAGGCTCACACTTATACTGTAATCAAACACAGAGCAGAAGACCTTTTGACTGATGAAAGTGCTAAGAAAATAAGAAAGGTATTTGCCAGTATCAAATTGGCGCCTCAAAAAAGGAATTGAGTTACATTGCTTTGAGGACGTGGCCTTTAACAGCACACAGTTCTCTTTGTTGAGCATTGTGGTCCAGGAACAGCTGTTGATAAAAGACAAGTCAGTATGTCCACTGACTGTTGTTGGAGGCGGACACTATTACACCAGCACAGTGACATTTAGCTAATTTACCGGAACGTGCTGTCAAATACTCATCATAAGAAACGGGTACCTTTGTTGCATGTCAACAGAAAAAGATAATTATGGGGTTCAACAAATGGTTGATTGAGATCCAACAATAATATCCTAAAAGAAAGCACATTAAACACAGATTCAGATGTACAATAACATTACAATAGTAGGTCACAGCATGCAAACAAAGTCAAAGGTTATTATATTCTACATCAGGATGCAACCTCGGAACTAAACCATGAATGACAGTATTTGATAGAAAATATTCCTTTTTTGACATGTATTTAAAAAGCATTTTATTTGACCTCCTTGCTTTGTATTGTAAAGAGTTGTTCCCGAGCGGCCTGGCAGCTTTTAAGAAGATAACCTTAAACATCGAAGAGGAAGCTGCCATGAGGGAAGACACCGGAATGCAAGACGTCTATTACACCGAGGTCTGGCTGCTGCATTTTCATTTGGTTGCTTGCATATGACATTGTGAAATGACTTAGATGAGAAGTACTTTCATTGTTTCCCAAATTGGGAGTTGTTTTGGTTACAGCAGCATGGGATCAAGGCATTGCACATGAGTACCGTACAAACGAAAACTAATACATGCATAAAAAAGAAAGATATGTATCATAAGAGTATCTATAGAATAAACAATGTAAAAAATACAAAACAAGTCAGAATTCACTATAATTGACCAAACTACTACCAACAATATATTCAATAAATTCATTTATTTTGAGTGTGAAGGCAATACCCTTATTCTACTTCAAAGGATGTACTTGTGTTTGGACAATATTTAACATAAAAAAACACATTTCAAATGTAGTAATAGCAAACAATTCTGTACCTTTGGCATTTAACTCGGGTTTTGGATTAAATCCTAATGTAGAATCCAAATTGTTAGTCTTATTCTGTTAAATATGGTTCAAATGCATTTTCTATCCCTTTTTAGGAGGTTTTGGTCGAACACTTGGAGGTCTGTGTGGAGGCGCTGTGGAAAGCCGAACGCTATGAGCTCATCACGCACATTGCCAAGCTCATGATCCCCATCTATGAGAAGCGCCACGAGTACGAGGTACGGCTCTCAAACAGATATCATGATATCGTAAACATGCAGCCACTGTTTCTTGCCTCTCTTTGCAAAGCGATCCATCCATGTCCCCGTGCTTATGAAGGTCAAGTAATCACACCTATGTAAGGACTAGGCTTTGTAGAAGATTATCCTGATATAAATTCTTGTGTGTAAAGTGTACTCATTTTCATTTTCCACTCATCTTTTGACTCTTTGGCTTCATGTGGGTTGTTCGCATCTCGTTTTGTTTAGTTTGCCTTTACTTACACAACAAGATACCTGGTCAAACATTATTGAACTGCTCTCTGATTATTAAACCTGTTCTTATCAGGTGCTTAATATAGCACTTACTTGTTGCTCTTGAACAACATCAGGGTGGGGTGTGAGACTCTCAGAGGCTTTATAGAAAACATTTATATCAGGTCTTAAAATCATTTTTTAAAACACAAACTGCTCTGTATGACCCTCAAGCTGTGAACTTTTTCTTTTTTTTACCACATGTTCATGCTCAAGCAGACATTTCTCAATATTGAAATAATGTGATTCAAAAACAGCTTTAGTTCAAATGTTAGTCTGGATTTTGCACAACTGAAAACTGAAATGCCTGTTCTTGCTCCTGCACGCACTGCTCAGTCACAGAAAACAGAAAATAGACCATGCCATCTCTCTTCTCCTTTTTTTTTGCAGAAGCTAAGCCGACTGTACGACAGCCTGCACAGAGCGTACAACAAAATAATGGAGGTGATTCATTCGGGCCGCAGGCTGCTGGGTACATACTTCCGCGTGGCTTTTTACGGACAGGTGAGATCCGACAACAAGCCAGTTTCAATGAGGACTTTATTTGAATAAGATTGAAATGACAAACACAGGTAAATAGGAATGTTATGTATAATTCAAATAAACTCCCCGTTCACCAAGCGCAGACTGAAGTAATGAACACATTTTAAAATAATTGTAATAAAATATTTCAAAAAAGATCTTGTGCTTAAAATTGCCATGTTGCACAACGAGTACTTTTACTTTTGGTACTGGTAATGCTAATACTTTTTTAATTGTATTTAAATACAATTATGAATGCAGGTCTTTTACTCGTAACTGAGTATATATATGCAACCTAAAAAGCAAAAAAGAACTCCACCCTTTACCACAAGCTTTGAAGAAAATGATGTGGAAAAATGCATATTAAGTATAAGTAGAAGATAGAGACAATTAGCAAAAAAAACAAATGTATTATTACTGTTTACGGTGGAAAAAGCTGTGGATTGGCACTGTATAAGAACTCGCAGTAAGGGTGCTACAACTACGCAAACACAAAGCAGGATGTTCAGCAGGAATGGAATGAAGAAACACATTAGTTGTTATTGGATGCCATCTGCTCAGGCGTGTGCCATGCCCATCCATCATAACACGGAATAACTACTCTCTTATCAAATAGTTCACATTTTGACCTCTAAATATGCTGTCAGTGTAACTATGGTGTAAAGGTTAGAGTACAGCCTTGTTGATAGATAAGCAACATGCAGATTCAGGAGAGGCACGCAATAAATGAAAGCAAATAACTGCAGTGACGTTACATGTAATCATCCTTTACAGAAATGCTGAGTCATGCAGAATACAAATGTGTTGCATCTTACTTGTGCAGAAGGCAAAAACAACATGTTTATAATGGTGTAAAACATCTTTTTTTTAAGCCTGTGAAACACATTTCTTAATGCATGTGTCTTAAAGCACATTTCCAATGGACTGTCTCTTTATGTTTATGTAATTATCGCAGGGTTTCTTTGAGGAAGAGGACGGGAAGGAGTACATCTACAAAGAGCCCAAACTCACTGGCCTGTCTGAAATCTCTCAGCGGCTGATGTCACTGTACGGGGAAAAGTTTGGGCCGGAAAACGTCAAGATAATCCAGGACTCAAACAAGGTGCAGTAGATCATGGAGGACGGATAAAGTGGGAATCGTTTGCATTGATGTGATTGATGGGTTGACATTCTGTTTATTAAAATGACATAAAGTGGAAACTCCCTCTGGAGGGAACTTTGGGATTTCAGCCTTTGCAGACCATTTACATGCACACAAACCTATATAACACAAGACAGGACAAGAAAAAACCCCAGAAGCGTAATATGGCCCCTTTACTCTTGACCGCTTTTAATCTGAGTCAGTGGAGCTCCATGAGGCGGCATGAATTTGTTTTGAAGCAGTCAAGAGCTGTGGTGATGTTAGAACATTTAGTTTTGCTTTAGGATGACAGCAACATGTTTCTTTTGAAATGTCAAAAACTCAGTTATCTTACTTGAGGTGTTTGCTCTCCCACAGGTGAACCCCAAAGACCTGGACCCCAAGTTCGCCTACGTCCAGGTGACATTCGTCAAGGCGTACTTTGAGGACAAGGAGGCCCCAGAGAAGAAGACTGACTTTGAGAAGTGCCACAACATCAACCGCTTCGTGTTCGAGACCCCTTACACGCTGTCGGGCAAAACGCACGGCGGGGTGGAGGAGCAGTGCAAGAGGAGGAGCGTGCTCACAAGTACATAAAACATAATCTCATATCAGAAACTGCAACACAGTGATAATACATGTATTTGTATCTCTTTATGAGGTTGTTAATCTCTCCCAAGATCATGTATTGCACAATCTTTTCTAAGGAGAAATGTGCGTTATATAGTTCTTCTTATGACTTTGGACTGGCCACCCATTGTTCTGAGTACTGTTAGCTCCTAAATGGCCTTGAACATTAAACAGCTGGTTACCATAGCGAGAAGCAGATGTATATTTCCATTCCTCCAGAAACACCCTATTAAAGTATCCTTGGCTTATCTGACATTATAAAATATCCCCCCAAAGCCATGTTATTATTTAAATGTAGTTCTCATGGTGAACCTACAGTCACTAAGGGACACAATACTTTGACTAAAACCTAAATAGCAACAGATGAATCGGCTCATTCTGTTCCTTATTTTTAGTGTCATAAAAAATGACAAGTGTTGCCAAAACTTTCTATCAGATATGATTGCGTGCAAATGAGTGATCATCTCAAGTTGACCCTTTGAGAAGCATATTGTCACTTTTTTTTTTTTTTTCTCTGTGTTTTTAAATTGAACGCATGATTCGACCCTATATGATTCTTGTTTTATCTCAAGCTGCCAACACATTCCCTTACGTGAAGAAGCGCGTGGAGGTGGTCGGGGAGAAGCAGGTGGAGCTGAAGCCGGTGGAAGTGGCCATAGATGAGATGACGGCTCGAACGGCCGAGCTGACCAAACTGTGCTCCAGCCAGGAAGTGGACATGATCCAACTGCAACTCAAACTGCAGGGCTGCGTCTCGGTGCAGGTAAAGGCCTCAATCAGAGACTCAGCTCAGTAAAAAAAAACAAATATTAATAACTCATAATGACTGCCCAGAGATTGCGAAAAGCTGGGCTGGTGTGAGGAATCAGAGTGGCGTGAGAAAGCATGAATGGAACGTGCCAATTGTTAGTTTGTTTGTGCGCTGATCCAATCAAGAATGCCTAACAATCTCAGACATGTTTTTCTGCAGGTGAATGCAGGTCCCATGGCCTACGCTAGGGCTTTCTTGGATGACAGTAAATCCAACCAGTGTGGCAACAAGAAAGTTAAAGACCTCAAGGACATTTTCAGGTACCCATTGTTTTTTTTCGTGGCCTAATCACTAAGCTGCTTCTCTGTTGGATTTCTTTGTTGTCCTTACTTCCTCATTCCTGGTTAACAGTCACTTTTTTGTTTAAAACTGTTTCTAAGCAGTCAATTGAGTTTGTAATTAATACTTTTGATAATTGCAGGCAATTTGTCCAGGCTTGCAGTATGGCTCTAGACATAAATGAGCGGATTATCAAAGAGGACCAGTTTGAGTACCATGAGGGCCTAAAGTCCAACTTTAAAGAAATGGTAAAGGAGCTCTCTGACATCATCCACGAGCAGGTAATTGTTTTTATTTTCTGGGCGAATCAAAACAGTGTTTCTAAACAGAATATGTTATTTTTACAAGGAGCACACCCTTGGCTGATTACATATTTTCCCTTGAGTACTCACAGGTTTGCCTGTGGCAGGTTATCAGATAGAACTGATTCTGGAAAGAGATGTCGCTCTGAAATGAAAAACATATTTTTTTTACAATAAACAAAACACATAAAAGACGTAAAACACAGAAAACCATCATGGTGAACTGCAAAATTGGCAAAACGAGCCTGCCGTAGCAAGGCACACAATAACAATATCCAAAAAACAACAGAGCTCATGAGTAACACAGTTAGTTATCACCAAGCAATGACAAAACTGGCTTTGCACCTTCAAGAAATAGCATTGAAACACAAACTGTATTTGATGGAGCTACCTCCTTTGGGACAATTCCCAGTTTAGTAATTAATGGTACTGTTTCAGCTGCAAGCATGCCTACCTTGAAAGCCTGGTTATGATAGGAGGGAAGAGCCCATATCCTTTCAGAACAAATGACAGCCTGGCTCTGTTTATTATAATGGTCGGTGTCAAAAGTGTAATTGTGATCCAGTACCAACTTAGAAACTCATAGGATAAATTAAAGTTTCTCAGTAATGCAGTCTAAGACAAATGTATCTATTTCTGTAAATTCACTTTGGGAAGTCCAAGTCTTGGTCTCAGGCTTCTTTGAGATGAGTATTTACTGGAATCGTAAGAGCTGTGACGAGATCAATTGTTTACGGTTTGGCTGTAAAAGAGAAGAACATCATTAAAATGTGTCTCTTTGGTTGAGAATTCTGGGAAATACTCTCACACCTACTTAAGGGACGCAATGGAAATGTGATTATGGATTTACAGCAGAATTAGTATCTATGTATGAACAGATGTCCAATACAGCAGAGTGTCCCTCCCCATTAATGCTGGTGCGGTGCTATATGCTATAGAGGGGTTCACTGAGACAATTTATCTTGATTCAAATTCTACAGAGAGTTTCTGAGAAGGAAGTTATGATGACCAAGAGAGAAAAAACCATGACCATCAAGTGAGAACCATCGCATTTGCAGCCCCATTATAATGGCTATATACAGGAACTGTTTACATTCTGTAAGTGGGCTTTAGACATAGAGCAGGTTTGTTAACCCGGACCAAGCAGATGATTACTAAATCCAGGAGTTTAAAGACAGACAATGGCAAAAAGTGGAAAGGGTTTTTGAGAAGGGATAGTACAGGAACCTATGAAGTGCAAACCCGCCTCCATTGCACCCCTTTGTTTACCTCTGTGACATCCCTATGTAACCATAGCGCTAACACATTGTACGTGATAGGCTATGGGGAGGGACTTCTCTAAGAGGTGGACCAATCACAACAGAGCCGGCCAGCTAACCAATCAGAGCAGATTGGGCTCTGGTTTCAGACAGAGGGTGAAAAGAGGTGCTGCAGCACAGGCAGTTTGAGAAAAATAGAGCTTTTTAAACATAAAAGAGCTTTTTGAACATTAAAGCACGGAGACATGTCACAGGAGAGGCACTAACTACTAATATCGACTTGAAATGAGCATCGGTCCATTATAGGTCAAATAGGTAGCTAATTTTACAAAATCAATCAATTAATCATCAGCATACATTCACAAGGCTTTCCACATTAACAAATGATATACCATGGATACCTGAGGGACTCGTGATTCTTATTGCACTAACTTATAAATCAATATCATAATAGAGGGGATGCAAAGTTGCAGATTCAAAGGTTGTGTCTGTGTAAGTGAAGATGTCTCATAAACTGAATATATTGTATTTGAAAGCAACCATGTACTGTATTAAGCACAGGATAAGTCTGCTCTGATTTAGATTTGCAATGGTTGAGATATGATCACGTTATTTTGTGGCCAGGACTTTAGTCATTACCTTCTCAGCATCATTTAAGATCCTTAACTGGCAGGGTCGGTTTCTTCTTTTTCCTTTTTTAGAAGCTAGTCGATATCTGCTAAGTAGAGTAAGCTGGGGAGCCTCTTATTTTAGCGACTATCTTTCCTTGAAACAACTTTTATAATTATTATAGTCACAATCACAGCAGAAACCCAATACTGTTGCATCATAGCCGCCCATGCTCCATGTGCGGCTGTGTGTATCACTGTGAATCACGTCTAAGTATTGAGTAATTTGAATGGAAACTCAGACAGATCAAATTACACATATGTACAACTCATTGCTAGAATGGAGAATTCTGCTGGCCGTTGCCTTGTTACCTCTATCCAAAAGTCCACAGTGGCTCAGTCAGTAGGGGCTTGGACTGGGAGCCGTAGGGTCGCCGGTTCAAGTCCCTGAACAGACCTAAATATGGAGAGTGGACTGCTACTTGGAGAGGTCCCAGTTCACCTCCTGCCCTGCCGTGGTGCCCTTGAGCAAGGCACCGGACAACCCACTTCCCCCCTCACTCCTGTTGCTCCCCTGGCGCAGTACAATAGCTGCCCACTGCTCCTGGTACTAGGATGGGTTAAATACAGAGAACAAATGTCACTGTGTGTGCGCTGTGTGCTCTGCATGTGTGACCATTAAAGAGGGTTTCATCCCTCCCATTCTATCTATTATTCTATTCTATACGTTAAGTTAATCGCGTACCTTTTGCAGCATCAAATTCATTGCTCTGTGGGTGGTAAGACTACAAAAAGTTATCCGCTTTCTTAGGGTTGAACATTACTGGCAGTTCACTTTGACAACATTTTAATAGCATTTAGCAGCCACTTATTCTGGTTTGTCAAAAATACGAAAACTCAATAATAATCCTTCATTTTTATTTTTTCACACTGGTCATTAGACTTTGAGTAAGTCACAATGAGTTGTGACTCACTCAAAGTCTAATGACCTAATTTCCTGTGGAACATTTCCTGGACAAATAATGCCCAATGTCTCCCACTCATCTGTCCCTGTCACCCAATACGGCAAAGAGTTGAGTGTAAAAATGCACTGGTTTAATTCGCTGGAGAAAGGTATCAATGTGTCTGTATGTGCTGTAATATGTTGCAATCTACAAAGAGGAAATACCCATCATCGCTTACCGACATATGATATTACTCAAGCTGCTCTGAACTCACTTAACTAACTGGTCTGCCTTTTTCTCTCCAATACGCTGGCCTTTAGCTTTAAGGAAAACAGGTAATGTGTTCATGAAGTGTGTCAATCCTCCATTTTTATTTTATTTTTTAACTCATTCATTCTTAGTCAATTCCCTCCAGAAATGTTTTCGATAATGCCAAGGTAATCTAAGAATATACACATACCAAAAAAAAGTCGAAAAGATAGTGGTTTCGGCTGATGTGGCAGACATTTGGCAGTCCTTGAATCCTCCTTTGAATAACATGTCGGCTGCTGGGTAACTCATGAAAATATATTTACATAGTACATTTTCAAGAACACTATCATCACAGAGGATATTGAAAGACCACTCTTCAAACGAGTAGTGTCCTGTGTAAGGGTGGAACTATGGCATCAACACGAACAAAAGACATGCTGCCAGTTCAAAAACGAAGAGATGGTTAAAACACTCTCAGGTGTCAGCTGTTAGTCACCTCTTTGTCGCAGGTCATGTGGTCGTGGTTTCACTTGCAAAACATGCTAAAGCGAAAACTTAAAGGAAGAATTCTGCACTTGAGAAATTAAAGGTTTAAGTGGGTTTTTTTGTGAGTGTCTGAATCTTTTGACACGGAGAGAAAGCATGCACATGTTGAGAGGAAACTGCATTTTCTTTTTTTAAAACATCCATACGAACCAATTCCAAACTTCATTGCATCACAACTAAAGGTGTTGTTGATCTGTGGAATAACTGAAATAATGAGCTGAAATATTGTGCAAGTTTATCTAATCTAAAACTATTATTTAGAAACCAAATCCTGAATGGTTCTGGGCAGGACCTGTGAACTCATACTTGCTATTTCTTGTCATTGTAAAAGTTATTTATTTTTGTACAAAAACAAACATTTGTTTAAAAACAATGATTCCAATATCACGGATGCTGATGACGATGACTTAATCTTTTATTTTCAAGAAAAATGTACGCTTGGAGGGGGGGGGGGGGGTAGGACCTGAAACGTTTGTAAGCTTCTTCTTGCCCCTTTTGAACATGACTGAAACTATTTGAGAATGTTCTTTTTTTTATACCTTGAACGTTTATTTATTTTTTTGCTTCACTTTGTTATGATTAATATTATAATTATAATTATTGTTTTTTTGTTTCTAACATGTTCAATAAATTGATTAATAAAACTAAAAAAACTGTTTAAATTAGCAACAGATTAATTGCAAGATATCGATGATACAAAAATGATGAAAACATAGATATTCACAACATAGTTACATCACTATGTAACACTCACTCTTCTACTGCTTAGCGCGCCGACACATTGTACGTGATAGGCTAAGGGGCGGGATATCTATAAGCTGTTGACTAATCACAACAGACCCAGACAGCCAACCAATCAGAGCAGACTGGGCTTTGTTTTCAGACACAGGGTGACAAGAAGTGCAAAATACTAATATGAACCTGAAAATGAGAATATTAGGGCCCCTTTAAACAGTTGATTGATATATCCAAGAATATAAAGATAAAACTGTACATTCACGAAATTGAAATAAACACGTGTTTAACAAGCTAGCCCTATGGATGATTCCACCCCCCTAACAAAGTTTAATAAACAAGATTTATTTAAATAATCAAACCAAATGTAGGGGTTAACTTAAGGTATGTTGTAGTATGGATATCAGTATAGACTCAGCAGTCTTCAAAGTGTGAGGCGCCAGAGAGCTTCATGGGAGGCGCAGCGTGAAAAAAAAAGAACGAGAAAAAAATGAGTAAAGTGTCTTTTGGCTGTCTGTGGAGACCGAGCTCCCCCACCTCGCCAACAAGGCTATAAAAGTGCTCATTCCCTTCACCTCCACCTACCTGTGTGAGTGTGGGTTTTCCGCATTGACTTTGATCAAAAGCAAGTACCGGTCAAGGCTGCGGCCAGAGGATGATCTGCGTTTATTCCTGTCTACCCCGCCAGAGTCCTGCACGGGTCTGATTTTCAAGACCCGCGACGTGTAACACCGAACCCGCCCCGCCACCGCACATGTTGCCAATTAGTTCCGCAAACCGACCCGACCCGTCGGCACAAGATCCGCAAACCGACCCGAACCCCCATATCCTAGGAGCAGTGAAAACATGCAATTATTAACACACGCAGTTGCGTATCTGGCTCAAAAAGCGTGGGATGTTGGTTATTGTCTCCTTCTAGGATGACACCAAAAGCCTCCCAGACGTTGGTTTCATCCCTCCCAATATTATTATTATTATTATCTTCTTTGTTTTACCCACGGGTACCCGACCCGATGCAGGACTCTGATCCCCGCATCATCCGCATCAAAGACGCAGACTCATTGTTCCCACTAAAGTAGGGGTGAGTGTAATAAGGAGGAAAAGTTGACGTTCAGTATGTGTTCCCGGGAGCATATAAGGATTTATCCAAAATGTTGATATAAAGATAAAAAGGTTTTAAAAAGTTATTGTTTAATGTTTTAATGAGGTGACGCTACTCAGCCAATCAAATCGGTGCTGTCAGTGAGTCAGCACGATAGATTCAAACACACACACAGAGACGAGACAAGAAGAGAGAAACAGTCGGAATAATTTCAAATGGCGTGCTCATTGCATTATAGCAACAATGATAATAAAAATAGCAATAATAATTGGGAGGGGGGGCGCGGCTGTTCTTATGTTCTCTGAGGGGAGGCTCACCCTCCCACACTTTGAAAACCCCTGGAGACAGTAGTGGATGATTGACATGTGTTGGGAAAAGGTGCAATGTATCACCATGGTATAATGTGTGCTGTCACCTTTTAATGACATCCTTGCACAGCCTGACTGATGTGTTATTCAGGTGATTCAGCATGAAAGCAATGACTGAGTCACACGATCATGTTAAGGGTTGGCACCAGCCAGTTAACACTCCAAATCTATTAAGTCTTTAGTTGTCAGGGAAGTTTAGTGGATTGTTTACATGTCACTGTTAATTATTGAGACACTCCCAAAGAGACTAAATGTCCTGTGCCACAACAGATGTGCATATCTATGGGGGTTATTCCCTATCTTTATTCAAGAGCGTGGTCTTTAAATTTGAGAGCATACTTTATTGATTTCACGTTCAGAATATGTATTTATTTCCCTCAAACCCTGTCCTCACACTCAAATAGTGCCTGCTTGCACTTAGATTTGCTCTGCTTCTGCTCAAACTGTACGCTTGCACTCAGATATATTGCTGCTTACAGATTTCCTGTGTTCCAGCTTAAAACCTTCTCCTCGCACTCAGGCTGTTTCTGTGCGCTCGTGAAATGTCTGCTCTCAGATTTATTCTGTGCGCGCTCGGATCTTTTGTGCAACAACCCTGTCAAAATCTCTCAACCAATAGTTAATTTACAACTTTTTTTTTGGGGGGGGGGGGGTTAAGCACAGTTAGTATATATTTATAAAACGGACAAGTCAAATCAAGCAATCTGATGTTTCTTAGCCGTGGTATAATGAGCGTATATCCCGGGTATAATTGTAGTTACTTTTCACAAGTCAGTATTCCTCCGCGTCTGAGAAAAGCTACAACCGTACAACTGTTACATTACGTCCGCTACGAAACTAACAAAGCTTAACATGGAAACAGTTAAGGTTAACTTCGACCTCCGGGTGGCCTTACTATGGAGGAGTGGATTGAGAAACACCTACTGTATCTCCAGAAAAAAAAATGCACCGAAACGACGACAATGCTGTCTGTCTAATATGTTCGCTAGCTGTTATTGTTGTTGCATAGCAACCACCTCGCACTATGTTTTGTGCAGAAGGCAACGGAGGGACTATTTTATTTTATTCCTGGGCTGATTTTTAGTCCCAGTCCGCCACTGAACGTAGCTAAAAAGTTGTAAATTAAACAAGTAAAGTATATGTTATGTCATAAAGCCGTGGAGGGCGGTAGTTTATAAACCAAAGAGTAACCGCCCTTACTGGACGCTCTAATAAGTAAAGCGAACGCACCCGCAAGGACACCTGGCCTCCTATTGGTTGAGGGATTTTGACAGGGTTGTTGCACAAAAGATCCGAGCGCGCACAGAATAAATCTGAGAGCAGACATTTCACGAGCGCACAGAAACAGCCTGAGTGCGAAGAAAAGGTTTTAAGCTGGAACACAGGAAATCTGTAAGCAGAAATATATCTGAGTGCAAGCCTACAGTTTGAGCAGAAGCAGAGCAAATCTAAGCGCAAGCAGGCACTATTTGAGTGTGAGGACAGGGTTTGAGGGAAGAAATCAATAAAGTATGCTCTTAAATTTAAATACCACGCTCTTGAATAAAGATAGGGAATAACCCCCATACATATCAACTGTGCAGAAAGAGTAGGCGGAGCATTGTCTTTTGAAGATCAATGTTGTAAGAATTGTCTAATACACTGGATACAACTTCAGATGGACAATAGTGTTCATCCGCTACAAAAACAGTTATTTTGTTTGAATACAAATAATTATTTAGCAACTTGCAACATTGTATGCCTGGGGACAGACCTCTGAATTCAAGATTTACTCAGCCATTCAAACAGAAGGATGATTAAAATGAGACATCAGAGAAATACCAAAGAGTTTTGAAAACAAAACGTGTTTTTCATCGACAAAATTACTTTAGCAACGGGAAATGTGGTGTGGCCCCTTTCTTGTTTATCTTTGTTTTTTGCCATGTCATTATTATTTTTTTTCGTTTCAATATTCACTTTTCAATAACATCACAGCATAAAAAAAACACTGAAAAATATATGCAAAAAATGAACGACAAAAAATATACATAATCACCATTTCTTTATATTCTGTACTTCTAGTTAACTACTTTTGCAGGGATATCTTCCATAAATGTCGTAGCTTTAATACCTTTATATACCTTCATAGTACAAACAACACATTTTCCACCTCTCATTTAGCCTCAGTGTTTGTTGAACCACATCCCAAAGTGTGTCACATCCTATCTGCCAATGCAATCCAGAACACGTGCCCACATGTTCTAACCCCCCCTATGTGTGAACTGTGTGTGTTTTGCAGATCTTCCAGGAGGATATGATGCGCTCGCTCTTACAAAACTCCCACCATGTGTTCCGTGCCATCAGCGGGACGACCCCCAACCTGGGCTGACCTTCCTCGGCTGCAGCAGTTGGATGTACTAATCAAACTACAGTAGCAGTATTTCAGAGAATGTATCACTGCAACACCTGGTTTGGGTTTTAAGCAGAGTCAAGCTAGGTTGCACCTTTTTCTGCATTTGCAAAAATACTGCAGGATTAAACTGTTATTTTTTGTACTAAAGCAAAGCAATTTTTCCAGTCCTCTCTTTGCTAAGATGCCTTTCCGGTCTATGCAGGACAAGCTTCTTCCAGAATTCATTTTCACCTTCTTGAGTCATCTTTAAGAAGACAAACGCATATTTCTATTGTACCACAAGGAACTATGTGAACTCAACCGGTTCTGCATTAAAAAAAAAAAGTATTTGAGATACTCAGTCAAGCCAAGAGTTTATAGACTGCTGGCGCATTCCAGCCAGGTTACAAGATTGTGAAACAGATAAATGACAGATCTTATTGTGAGCACCAGGTTTGTTTTAAAGACAAATGCCTTCTCGATGTGTTCAGACGCTAAAGAAAGAGAGACAGACCTGAGGGTTATAAAGCTGCTCTTCAGAGGGGTTTGCATAGTGTAGAGGATTACGATTACATTGTAAAGGTCAAGAAATACGTATAAGAGGTGATGAATAAGAATAGATTATAATTGCAAATCAGAGCTTCAGAACAATCACTAAAACACGTCTTCTTTATGGGCTAAAAAAGGACACACCGGGATGGAATAATATTAACTTCAGAAAATAAGTGAATCCTCTCATCTGGGTTAAAATCCAGTGCCTTTGCCATCTGAAGAAAAAATGTAAGAAGACCTTCATCATATGCTGGTTATAAACAGTATTTCACAAGTGCTACACTGTAATTAGCAGAGAGATTAATCATATTTAAGGAATTGTACATAGCCATGCTGTAAAATGAATTCTGTATCTTTGTTTGTTTGTATTTATATTTGTAATATTTTGGACTCGGTCCAGACCTGTCCTAGCAATGAGATTTTTTCATTTGAATTGCATTGTACAGTATACTAAAGTTCAGCTGCTTGTTAAACTTTCTTTGTAAAACCATTTTCCAATAAAACCCGGAGAAACGATCAAGAATGACGGTTCATTTTCAACAGAAGAACAACAGTATTGTTTCTGATCTTCTGCAGGTGTTGCCAGGTTGTCATGGACCTCAGTCTCAGGTGTTTGCTATGAGGTCCATCTCCAAAGAAAATGGTGTGATATTGAATCCGAACAAACAACACGAGTCATACAATAACACAAACTGATAGAGGCAGCAGAAGACAAGGAACTCTGGGTTCTACAAGATAAAAATACAGTTTTTTTCAATGTAGTCTGGTGTCTTTGGGAGGAGCATGGATACCTGCTTCTGTAACTGCTGTTTGCTTATTTAAACTACCTATGTATATGCACCTCATACAACCCCACTTCTAAACATCCTAACTGTCACTTTAACCTGCTTTAACAGCCTCTACTTGTTCTAGTTTCAGGCTTGCCACAATGTGTTGTAACTTGGATGCAGGGATTTGCTTCTATTGCGCAACCAGAAGTCAGGCAGGTATATAGGAGACTCAAAAAAACTGAGATGCATTATGGGAAGTGTAGGATCCAGCGTTTGAGAAGCTTAAACTATAATAATGTACTAAAAACAAGGATTTGTTGTACTCTGATGCTTTGATTTGGACCATTCTTTCTTTAATATCTCCCTTAGGAGTCCTTTAACATTGAAATAATGTATTTTAAGGGGCTTACTCAAACCCAGTGGTGGAAAGTATCCAAGTACATTTACTCAAGTTGTGTAGGTAGGAGTAGGTATTTCATGTTAAACTGTACTTTATACTTCTACTCCACTACGTTTTGGAAGCACATTTTCCCCCACTCGATTCAATTTACAGATGTATTTACTAGTTACTTTATCAACTCATATGTTGACACACAATACTTAGGAAAACTTTTTAAATGATTATTTGACAGATTAAACCAGTCAACATTACATTAAGCAACTAGAATCATGAGTGGGTTAAGAGAAAATGAATGGGCAGCAATTTTGCTAAAATAGTGTTTTGCTTAAAAATATTTTACAGCTCCAGCTTCTTAAAGTGAAGATTTGCCGCTTTGCTTCACATTTTTTAAATATTTTTTTTGTTTTTTCTGCAATGAGTAGCTTCTTAGCCTAACCCATTAAAAACATTTGCTCGTCATCATACTTAAATACTTTTACTTAAGTACGTTTTTTTCGATGCAGTTTGTTTTACTTAAAATTGAGTATTTTTACAGTGTGGTATTAGTACTTTCACTCAAGTAAAGAATCGGAATACTTTTTCCACCACTGCTCAAACCATAAAAACACATTGGATTCCTTCTTTTCAGAGGTGTTTGTGAAAACTTGTTTTTACAGAGGATCATTTCTCTCAGCCAAAAACAGGGTTACAATCCAGTGAGATCAAATGTACTGCTGTTTGTTGCTGCCTAAATCCATTACCCTACAGTTAATCCTGTAATTGATTCACTGACTCATTTAGAGGCTGACGACTTCCTGAAGGAATGGATGAACACATGTGGTTTGGGATATAGCACTTACCGTAAAGACCAGACGCATGCGTGATCTTTGAACTGTTTCTTGAGTCTCTTGCGTCGGCCAGAGGTTTTTATAACATTCCCTCTGCTGGGTCACTTTAATTTCCGTGCTGTCATCGCATCTCCGAACACTCCCCCCCCCTTTTTTTTCCCGGTAGAGAGCACACCCCTGACCGACACCATCACGGTGTGCCTCTGTCAACTTCCCATTTCATTTTCAACCTATTTTCTCTCGACCGTAGACGTGATCTCACCTGGATTTGCCTTTTTTTTACTACGTTACATTATTCTAAGAGTTTGTTTGAATGTACTTTTGCCCTTAAGAGGATCCAGGGAGTTGATTTTCTTCCAGAGGGAATAGACGTTCAGACGCGCGAGGACAACATGACTTCTACACGGGAGCTCTACGCCTTTTTAACATTCACCACCATGATGATGGTACACCACTGTAAAGCAGGTAAACTCACCTATTACCTGCCATTCTCTAGAATAATTTTGTTTAGCTTTTATAAAGGTTTAATCAACACCGCTGGTATGTATACGTCTATCAAGTATGCTCTAACGGCGTAAATGTAACCCTTTTGACATCACAGTAAATAAATTATGGATTTATTGTCCATTTCAGACAAGAAATGAAAAAACAACTGTCTGATTTAACCCTGTAATTTCTCCCTCCCAATTGTGTACTATTTAGCGAACTGTAATTGGCTTTTGTTATATCATTTATTAATTCAACATTTTCATTTGAGGGGTTTCTTTGGAGAAATTACCCCATTATTCATTGTGTTATTAAAAGAGGTTGTTTAATTGAAAAGTACTAAGCATGGGAGACAAGTAGGTATAGTTAACCTGAGACCACAAACAATATTTAAAAGACACAATCAAGCATTTTTTTTGCCGAGTTTGGATAAAATATATAAATCTGGATGTCTCACTTGTTGCGTAAGTTCTTGTTTAGATGTGGTTGCGCCTCATTTTGCAATTACGGGTTCCCAACTGGAGGCTCTGCGGGGAAACGACAAACCAAGCGGATGCAGTCCATTACAAACGTGTAATGGAATATTTAATATCAAAAATACAATGGTTTCTACAATAGTTTTGGACTACCATTTTAAATAAATCTTTAGAAAATTATAGTGCCTGTCATTTCAATCAGAATTGGGAATGTTACTTCTCAGCTAATCTTCTTCAGGTTTGCTAAAAAGATCTCAAGCGTAATTTTAGAAGGATACATTCCTATTGTAATTTGAAGAAAACTGGAGGTCCAATATGAGGTACAATTGGTGTCAAAGGTCATTGAGTTACCAGGGGGTTTTATTTCCCAAAATGTGCTATAATCAGAGTTTTTAATTGGTCAAAGCCAATTAGAATCTTCCAGGAATAACCTAAGGATCTTTGGGACTTAGAGAAAAACGATGAAGGAAGTGTTTCTGTGAAAACTAGAGTGACATCAAAACAATCAACGTGATTGTTGAATACACGCGCAACTGAAATGTATGCATCAGGCTAATGGCTAATGAGAGCCTGGTGTGATTATTCTACATAGGTGTAATTGATTAACCATTTTTCAAGCCTTATTCCGCTTTAATTTTTTTGTTCTGGCCCTACAGATTTCCCTCCTCCACCAACAGGGCTGACTTTTAAATGGCTGGACCCGTTTGCTGTCAACGTGTCCTGGCAGGATCCCAGCGGCCTGCAGGACAGCAATGTCAAGTACAAAATCCGCAGGAAAGGGTTTGAAGATGTAAGTATTGGATTGTATCTTGGGTTTGTGTGGGGTGCAGGTGTAGCAGTATCACTGACAGGAGCATCACCTTTATAAGGATTTAGCTACAGTGGGAAAAGTACTCAGATCTTGTATTTAAGTAAAAGTAGAAGTACCAGGATGTAGGAATACTCTGTTAAGTAAAAAGTCCTGCAAATACTCAAGTAAAAGTAGTCATTGTGCAGATTGGTGCATTTCAGAATAATATGATGTGTTTTATAATTACTGATCATTAGTGTTATCAAAGCTGGTAAAGGTGCAGCTAGTTTGAATGACTTTGAATACTGCAGGGTAGCTTGTGAATTTACTCATATCTCAATGAATGACTGTTGCCTGAAGGAATATAAAACATAAATGAAACATAAAAACAAAATGGCTTTGAGTATTAGGTCTAACATGGAAGAAGCACTCTTGTAATAGTACATCACAGTGAATTAGTTAATTTGATTTGTATCATCCTGCAAAGATAACAAGTAACACATGTTTTCAAATGAATGTAGTGGAGATAAAAGTACAATATTTTAGGAGTAGATTAAAGTAGAAGTATCAAGTAGCATACAATTGAAAGGGTAAAGGTATACCTCAAAAATACTTCAGTAAAGTTACTGCTCACACTGAACACAGCCCCACTTTACATAGAATTTTAAAAACAATACAGTAACTGAAGACCCATGTAAAGACAAATATGTAGAGATAAAAAGCAATATCTCAATCTAAATTGTTATTCAAGTGTGTTTCAATATGTGTTAGCATCATCGTCATCAAAGCCTTTTGTTTTTTCTCCAGCCTTTTAAGTGCAGCCCCGACAAATATTTAAAAGTCAGCTCTCTCACAGAACAGACTGGTTCTGATCATTGGACGTACCAAGTGTGGACAGTTGTTGGCAACTGTGAGAGTACAAATGAGAGCAAAAAAGTGAACATTACCATTAATTCCCCAAAGACCCAAGGTAAGAAGCAGAGATCTATAATTACAGAAATACATAAAATGGTCCTCTACATTATAATGCTTAAATCTCATGTTTGATTGCATGTATTTGACACCTTTTTTTTCCTTCAAATGCTCAGTTAAATTAAAGGACACGAAATGCATCATCTACCCAGAGGGAATGAACTGTTCCTGGAACTCAACACATCAGCCTTTTAACCTCTCCTATAGGTAAATACTCCAAATATGTGCAGTAAATATTTAGTGAAGGTTGTTAACATTTTGGAGAGACAGAGATTAGGTGGATGTGAAAACCAGGTGTAAAAGTCTGAGGGCCTCTAGTGGACAGGTAGAGAACGGTAATGGCACAAAAACAAACATTATGCCATGTTGGTTAGCATCTTAACTAAAGTCAATTGTGCAGAAACACTGTGTATCCCCTCATATATTTGTTTAAAGAGGACATATTACTCTCATTTTAAGTTCATACTTGTATTTGGTGATTCTTATAGAAAATCTTCACATGAGTTTATGTCCAAAAAACTATTTATTTATCTCAACCTGTCTGTCTGAATATAACCGTATTCAACCTTTGTTTGAAACACTCTGTTTTAGCGCCTGTCCCTTTAAGATCTGCAGTGTGTATTTTTCTGTCGATTTTTTGATAACTTAACAGTATATTAAAAGCTCCTAGATTTGCTTTATATATTTTCTTAAATACGAAAAAACTCTGAAATCTTGCTTTTTACCAAAGAGGTCTCATATTGTAAAGCAATAAGCTATTCAGCCTCCAAGAAAACACACAGAAAGTCAGTAAAAACTAAGATTTAGAGCCAGGACATCTGCCGCATGAGTTCAAGAGGAAAGCCTACGTGTGGCAATGATTTTCATTCCTCATTCAGGATGTTATTATTAGTTTATTTATATTCAGCACGCCAGGGACGTGCACAGACATTTGGAGGGGCTATTGCTCTAAACTGGAAAAAGGGCCTCCCCCGAAAAAAAACACAAGATCTTTTGAAAATTGTAGCTTGTTTTAATGTCAAAGAAACCAAACAATTTTCAACTAAATTGAACGGTAATTCACATCTCATAACAAAATAAGCTAAGGCGACTACTTGCATTCGGTGACTTGATTTTAAAAATGTTTTGCGGTCCATATCTCATTAAAATATCTAATGTTAGTAACTATATAAAAAAAAATGGGGACAATTATTTTCTAATGTAGTTTGACCATTGTAACTGCTGTGCAGACATAGGTACTGATAACATAGGGCCTCTAGATAATTACCTTAAATAAACTCACTAATTAATGAAACCAGTTCAATACGCATTATTCTTATTCTTATAATTCTTTATGAGCGCAGTGACGGTAAGGTATCTAATTACTTATTTATTTAGTATTCCATAACTTAATAACAGAGATGGTCAAACTAAAGTAGAGACATGGCAGAAATCCTACAATGAAGCTGGACATTGAACTGTTCACCCGTGAGAGTGCGATCAAGAAAAGAGAGCGAGCGGCCCCGTTGAGGGAGTTTACAGATGAAAAGACAAAGAAAAACAGAAGCACAATAACAACAAGTAGGCTATATTTATGTGTTTTTTTGTAAATAACCGACGGTATCAAGAGGAAGTAAGTCCCTGGTTTGTACCTTATAGCCTAACTGCCATGAGACAACTCAAAATCAAGTTTCCAAAATCCGACACTGAGTTGGTCTTAATGCACCGGCACCGCGCTGACAAAGTGTGTTTCCCGCAGCGAGACGCTACAATACTTATTGTGGGCTTATCATGTTGATTCGGCCACAACAGAAAAAAGAAAAACAAACTCTCGCTCTCTCCAGAGGGGCAGGTCAGCCAAAAATGCCAAACGGGCCGTTGCCCGGGCAACATTAGCCCGTACCTGTGCACGTCCCTGCAGCACGCGATTCTCACGTTACGTAATGAACCACAGTTCATTAGTGAGCTTTATGAGTCCCTAGTGGCGACTGAAGGTATTGTAGGAACATCAGTTCTAGCCTTCCCTTCTCCCTATTTCTCTCACCCCCTGCCCATTCTGTTTTTACAGGACTTGTCCTGAGGAAACTTTAAAACCTTTAAGAGCGTGTGATCGGCCTTACAGCAGTGCCGAAAGGAGTGGGTGTTATCTGAAAGACGATGAATTCAAAGAAAGAAAATTAGACGTATGCATTCTCGTGGAAACTGAAGCTGGATGGAGCACCTTTAATCCTCGTTTTGGTTTGTGTTACCTTAATTTTGTCATTCAAATACTTATTTAACACAATGATTGAATCTTGTTTGTTGCCAAGTGAAGGTGAAAATGATACATGTTTTTGTCCTCAGTGGTACCTCCACCTAAACTGATCATCAAAGAAGAAAAAGATTATCTAAGATTAGAGGGGGAACATCAATCGATCGGAAGGTGTCAATGGAATTTCACAGTCTGCTACACCCGATGCAATAAGCCTGAAGTAAAAAGTCTTGATTATCTTAACAATTTTAAGTCATATAAGTTTTCTATACAATAAAGTTCACCACTGTTTTTTTTTTGCTTACTTTTTTAAGGTATGCATTTCGAAAGTAGGACCCTCGGAAATTCGCTACGATAAAGACTGCCTTTACGAGTTCCGATCTAGAACTGAATCACTCTATTGCGTTAAATTAACCAGTGATTTTAGCGATGTTGTAAAATATGGTAAGTGTCATCACAATTAGAAAAAAAGAATCTACTAATATTATACTCCAGTAAATACTAACATGGTTGTCATTGGATCCCTTAATTTGCAACATTTTATGCCCTACAGTTTATTCTTAAAAAGGCACATTGGTAATTATTCAGAAAAACATTTAATTTGTCCATGATGGCATTTATGATTGCTGGCTAATGTGTGGGTATATCAAAATAAGCAGTTTATACTCATCAGTTGTTCCCTATCATTTCTGACAGCACTTTAATACTATGTTTTTGTTTGACCCATGCTCTGTCTGCTTTTAATATTTAATTAGACCTCAAATATGTTGAAAATTGAAGAAAATGTGTCTCTTCTTCATCACAGGTTCTAACAAGCCTCCTGACCAGACACTGATGGTGGTCGCCATCGTCGTCCCCATCATTCTGTCCGTCTGCATCATTCTGTCCTGCTACTGCTTCAGGAAGTATGTTTTAGTAACAGAGAAGTGATTCTGGGTAGCTCAAACTGCTTTGTGGCTCCTTCCAGAATTGGAGGACATTTAGGCGTCAAAACTTGATAAAAATGAATCGGATGTTTTATTTTTTGTTTACCAACAGTGCTCAATGGTGGGTTAGAATCTAATAGAAATCACAATTTTAAATGTCTATTAACCTCTTGATCTAACTATAATTTGAACACAGTTATGGTCCTTTTGAGTCTAGACTGAAAACATAAGAAAAATAAAAGAGAGGACATCAACAAAATAATAGCAAATAAAGTAAATTAAAATGTCTGTTTCAAATGTTATATTTGAAGTTGGCCACCAAGGAGGGAACAGAGAAAAATGCCATTTTAGGAGGGCTCGAGAGCTTTTTGATATTTTAAATAATATTTTGAAACTACTTTTCCTACAACTTTATTCACATTTTGTCTAAGGACAAGTATGTTTAACAAAACAAGTGCATGTTTTGGCCAGGGACTATTTGAAATGTCGTAGCTGGGACAGAAAATGTCATCCAATTTTGGAATGAACCGTATACTGTATTTATCAATCGATTTCAAAAGCAGTTTTAAGCATACAGCTGTTCAGTTTTTGAGATCTGCAACGATGAGATCATGCCACTGAGATTTTGCCACACCTCGTATAAAGGCTGATTTGGTGCATTTGATCAGCAGACAAGAAGCAGAGGTAATAAGGCCTTGCCACAGCAGCGCTTCAATCAGTGAGAGTGTGTGTGGGTGGAAAATAGATGATTAACCCGCCTCACCCTAAGGCACAATGCTTAGGAGCTACAATGAAAACAAATCATAGGAAAGGAATGTTTATTGCCCCAAGTCAGTGAGGGTTTGTAGCTTTAAGAGAAGATAAACTCTATAATCCAGAATGCATTTCCTCCTACCTGTAGTGCTTTGTTTCACCATTGCACAAACATGATCATACATTTGTCTACTATTGGAATCAGTACACAGTCCATGCAAATAAAGAAAACATGACAGAAAAGAAGAATACAAATGGAGATAAATAAATGTGAGAAGCAAGCAACCACAAGCAGTTTCAGTTCCCATTAAACTGCAACAAGTAACCTATAACACCGGTTTATCATTTCTGGAAAGTAACATTGAAGTGGAGTTTTCAAATGTATATTTGGGGTGAACTGTTCCTTTAAAAATCCCCTGCAGACATGTTTACCAAATATCTTAAATACCTTTGAATAATATCCTGCGTGTGATGCGTTTTTTCCACCAATAAGAACAATATGCGTTTGAATATTCTAATAAATAATGTTATGTTTGCCTGTTAAATATGAAACGTTGGTGGTGACAACATTGTATGCTGGCTGTTAATCTGTGTCGTTGTGTGTGTTTGTAGGCATAGCTCCATTTTGTGCCCCATCATACCAGACCCTTCAGCAATATTCAAGGAAATGATGATAAACGGGAACAAAGATCATAAGGTATTTTTTCGAGAAAGAAAACAAATGTGTGTATGGTGTGCTCCCAAAAGTATGAATTTAACACTGTTCTGTTTTTTTCAGACGACAGGGAATTTGTACACGCCGGTACCAGAACCTATTGAATCCTGTAAAGTTACCGTGGTAGCTGAAAACAGTGACCTATAGAGCAAATCTCCTGACGTGAACACGCACAGTAGAGTGCCCGCAGTGAAGCTGGACTTCCACTCAGGGCCAACTCATCAGGAACATTGACTGAGTAGCTCAAAAACAGGCTGAAACGCTGTAATCCACTGACCTCTAGTGGTGTAAAGTTTCAAGTCAAGCTGTTTTTGCATCTTTACAGACATGTCTGACTGCAGCTCAGGGAAGAACTTCACCTTTCATGAAGTCGTGGAAAAACAAGATTTTCAGCTGCTATTACGTAAAGGTAGTGTTGATGTACACTGCTGAGTCCTCCCCTTTACAGGATAAGGAAATGCACTGGCTCTTAAAAGGAAAAAGCGGATCCTGTGGAGGAAGACGAGAGTAGTATACGAGAAGCTGGTGGCCCTATGGATTTCTCCTGTACTAAATGTCTTGGCACAGGATGTAGGACTCAAACGCCAGTATGACAGCAAGACAATGGGAAAGGGAGCAATGACTTAAATTAAAAGCACATACTTCTACTGATCCCTAATAGTTTTTACGACAATCGCTCGGAATTCCAACCTGTGGGGTTTAGCGTATAATCACAGCTTTAAACAATTTCTGGAAAGAGGACAATACCAGAGAACTGTGAAGGCATGAGGGCAAAAAACTGACAACTTGGCTTTCAGTCAGTCTGTTGATTCTGTGTTTTCTGTCTGCTTGCTCACAGAATCATCCAAAAACAAAATGCCATATCACCATTAGTCACACTCCCTTCCTTCCTTAAAAAGCAGAAATGTGTTCTTTCTTTGTTCTCTTGTCGCTTTGGTACGTGAACACCATCTGTTGAGTGATTGCTTATTTTCACAGCTTAGAGATAATAAAGAAAGAGAAATTGAAAGTGTAATGTTTTGCTCGGTCGCGATTGCGTGTGGTCTTAGCCTTCTTTAGAAGCAAGTATTTGACTTGTCACAACTTGCACATGTTCATTGGATCTGTTAGTCAGTGGGCATGTCCCAGTTTCTATAGGTTATTTTTTGACAAGCGCTATATCAAGGATTATACTTGATGGATTACAAAACTATGAATAATAATAACAGCTTCTGTGTTGCATCCAGTCATTTCATATCGTCCCACTCCTGGTTTTATTGACTTAAATATATATTGTTGGATGTTTTAATATATACCAAATACTCATATTTTAAAAGTTTTCCCCAAGTATTGTGTATAAAAATCTGAATTTATAAAGAAACGTGTGAATACATCTTTTAAATAAATGTATTGAGCCGAGGTGGGAAGTAACTATTTACTCAAGTACTTTACTTAAGTATAATTTGGAGATACTTGTACTTTACTTGAGTATTTCCTTTTAATGCTACTTTGTATTTTTACTCCACTCCATTAATTTTGTACCTGGACTAATGATGTGAAATATATTCAACTCTTAAACAGACCTGGAGTAAATTCACAACCCTGCAGTATACAAAGTCATTCAAACTAGCTGCACCTTTACCAGCTTTGATAACACTTTAATGATCAATATAAAACACATCTTATTATTCTGAAAAGGACCAATCTGCGAAATGACTACTTTTACTTTTGGTAATTTAAGTATATTTGTATGCTACTACTTTTTGTACTTTTACTTGAGTAACCTTTTGAGTGCAGGACTTTTACTTGTAACAGAGTATTTCTACATTGTGGTACTTCTACTTTTACTTAAGTACAAGAACTGAGTAGGCCTACCTCAAATGTGTGGGTTAGGATTAATATACCTAGTTATTTTCCACCACAAACGTATATTCAAAGTAGGCTATTATTATATTGCAAAACACTGGCACTCGCCCTTGTCCAGAAAAGGGAAGCTCTAGTCTACGCCCATTTCCCCGCCTCCAACAGATCTCATATATTTCAGAACAAACTGGAAGGTTAGATTAAAACCTTTACAGTCTATGATTAAAACACGTACATTTACTGTCTTTTTACAAACCGTGACAGCAGGACTGACACCAGGCGGTCGTCGTTAGAAACGAGAATAATTTACCAATACATTTTTTTACTATCGAAACTAAACCGAAACTCAGACAGGAAAACCGGGATGTGTCAAAGTCGCGATTTCTTCGTTTTAAGCTGCCTCTTTTTAACGGTCCTGTCTCAAGACGGTAAGAAAATATTTACAACAAAACTTGCTGTGGTACTTTTCCCAACGTTTGTGTTCTCAATCTGCTCCCTTGATGGAATTTTCCCAGCGGCGTTTTCCCAGTACTGACGTCACTACAGAGCAGGAAAGCAAGCATCCTGAGACAAGAATACAGTTAGTTGTTATAGATTGCCTAATAATGTATTGCGCACCTTGGAGGTGCATTGCAGGCATATTAAAGCCAGACAGTCTGTCTAACAATAATGTTCTGTAAATAAACAGCGGTGGAAAGTACTTCTACTCAAGTACTGTACTTTAACTTAAGTACACATTTGAAGTACTTTATCCAATTATTTTCATCGTATACTGCTTTATACTTCTACTCTACTACATTTTAGAAGCAAAGGTTGTACTTTTTACATTTATTGTCCAGATTTATTTACTTTTACTTACTAAATTCAGATTTTGACACACAACACAATTATTTGGTATAGATTAAACCCTCCGACATTATATTTAAGCAGCAATTTTGCTAAGAAGTTTTTTGTTAAAATATAGGCTATATTAAACGCTTTTACCATCTTGATACAGTACTTGAAATGGAGTAGCCTATTTTTAGAGTTTGGTATTATTACTTTTTCTCAAGTAAAGAATCTGAATACTTTGTTCACCTCTGTAAATAAATGATATCTGCATCAAAGTGTCACTTTAACAAAAATGACAAATTAAAATAAATAAATGAATAACTCTGACTACATACAGGCTCAAATATAAGTATTGTACTGTGTCAAAAACAATTGTCTCAGTTGTTCCAGGGAATAAGAGTTATTTCTAAGAAATAGTAGTCGGTAATGATTCACGGGTCACATTCCATGCAATATACAGTATAATGGAAAACTCCCATTATTTCCTACATAAAGGATAATAACATATGCAAGTTACGTGCAGGCAATGTGTCTTTTAAATAGTACTTATTTGATGATCTCTTAAGTGATATCAAAATGTAAATGTTTACCGTTTCACTTTCTTTTAATGAAGAAAGCTATGAACTGTGGGAAATGTGTTCATTGGCTTCACTACATGACCCAATTAAGATGAAGTAGCTTTTATCTCCGGATAAGTTCATATGGTTTTTATATCTGTATCAAGGAATGATGTGTTATCAAATATCTGTATTTTCTCTTTCTTTACCTAAGGATTACCACAAAATGTTTCCCTACAATGGATTAATGATTTCAAGCAGAAGGTGACCTGGGAACCACCACAGCACCTGGGAAAAAACTGCAAACCTAAACTGATTGTAGAACTAAAAGACATATTTAAAAGAGAGACATATGTGAGTATGCATGTATTTCGTTTTTTGGTTTGAATGTAATTGTATTTAATAGTTTTTCAGTGTATACAACACCTATTTTAGTTCAACCATGTCCTGGGTAACAATAACCTCAATTTACTAATGTTTCTTATATCATTGTTAGACATCTTAAAAAATGCATAGACTCTCTTATTATTATTATATCTATAATATATTGTTTTGTTATATTATGTTTACATACATTATTACATTATTTTTGTGTAGGGACATTTCTACATATTTTTAGGGAGTTGCTTGTTTGAAGAAGTATTCAGTGTGTTGTTTAAAGATAAAGATGTTGAAATATTATGATGTAAAATATATTGCATTACATGTTATACGAGAAGTATAATTGAAAAACTCTAAAGTCGCAAAGATAAAACTCAGAATGTCCCCTTTCAGGCTGTGGTATTATAATCTATATTAAAATATAGCTTTTTTAATTATTACTATCTAAAATAAATGTATAAGCAGCATTTATATGTCTCAGGATGGAGCACTTTCCAGCTGCTTTATACCCAGTTTGGTAGTTCAATGTGTTAGCAGGTGAATAACATGTTATAATTCCTGGAACGTACTGCTTTTTGTTCCTCATTGTTTTTGTTTTGTTCGGCTTTCCTGTTCTTGGTGGATTTAGGAATCAGTCACGTCCCCCTGGAACCTGACGATGGTGATGTTCGGGGGGTTTCTGAATGTGTCTGTACGAGACAGTGATTGTGCAATATACAAGCCAGTGATCTTCACCTACCCAGGTAGCTGAATGCTTCTGCTGCAGTTGAAATTGCATTACCATGTGTTTGTTTATAACGGTGTGTGTGTGTGTGTGTGTGTGTGTGTGTGTGTGTGTGTGTGTGTGTGTGTGTGTGTCATATCCTGCCAGATCTGGTGCAGGACTCGCAGTGCTTCTTTTCTACCCCCACGGAAACTCACTGCAACTGGAACCAGACCGCTCACACTCCCTCAAATCTGGGGTTTTTCTATCAGTGAGTTTATTTTTTGCTAAACACAGACACATGTTGACAAAGTGCAAACAGTGTTCCCTGCCTGGCCTTAGAGACAGGCAGATATAAGAAAACATGGCTGCCAAAAGAGGAGCCATTATACCAACAGCGTGGAGGAACTGCTGTGGGAACAACGCAGCACTTCCTCATACAATGCCCACAATTCAAACCTCATCCTCAATTCTTTGAAAAAGAAAACTAAAAATCTTACTAGACTCACATCTCAGGTCTTTTTATTTTCTATTATTATTTTTCTTATTAATGTATTATATGAATTAATCCTCAGCATTATACTGCAAAATAGTCAATAACTCACCTTAACTTTTTCTATCTGTGTTTTAAATAAATAAATAATTCATGTTCATATACTATATTGGTTTCCTTGTAAAGAAAACATGTTGTTATTGCTTTTCGCTCAAAAAACATAACTATAATAGTATATAATAATTAGGAGTTTTGAGCACCATATCAATAATATGTATTATTATTATTATTATTATAACCCCCCAAATGTATATTTATACTGTATATAGATGTAGCAATTGTACAAAGCTTTGGCCATACTGTAGGTCATTATGGTCATGCCAATTACCCTATTTAAATTGAATTGAATGGAAAAACACATTGGTGTGTAGTGCTGTTGTGTCACAGTAAAAGGGACCGAGACTAGCTGTTACCCAAAGTAAATGTGTAAGCTTTATTGCAAAATCTCCTGATACACAGTTTCATCACATAAGATTCAGCAGAACCCGAGTGGCAGTAAAGACTTTCTGTTTAACTGAGGCTAAAGTCCCCGTGTTCGTCGACCTCGCTTTTTATCGGGTGTCAGTTTAAGTTTAGGAGACTTTTTGTTGACTCTTGGAATGTTTATTCATCGAGTGTCTTTTCAATTTAAGTAGGAGGGCATATTATTTTTATTTTAAACTAGAGATGGGTGAGTCCTGATTCATCCGGATCATTAACCCGGGTCCTTGTAATGACCTGGGAGTGACGAGTCTCCCCTCTCCATTACCCGAGTCCTTTGAGTCCTACACCTGGTGATGTACAAATTAAAACTATTTATTGTGTCACTCGCTACTCTGCTTATAACATGTCAAATCACATTACAACGTACCCCAGTCCATCTGCCTATCCTTTAGCAAGTAGGATAGCTGTGTAAACTGTGTTCGTTATTCTCCCGCCCAGGAGAGAAGCTTTAAAAGGAGACTAAATGGAGTCTCTGTGAAGGTTCAATTGGGTACTTTAATTTAAAAAAGGCGCGGGTATGTCACAAGCATGATATTGTTCAGTCAGAAAAACAGCTGTGATCTGGTCCTCGTGAGTGAAGAAGAGAGACCGAGCTTCTCTTTCCCAGGTGTTATATCTCCTCTGCTGGCTCCTCCCTGCGGGCCGACTGGCGCTGCTAAAGA